TCCTGAACAAGCAAGTCGTCTTCCTATATAAAAATTTTATGGATGCTCATTGGCGGGGTGGTGGAAGGCACATATAGAATTCAGGCCCTGGTCTCAGTAACCTGGTCAAGCTAAATTATGCAACATAATGGAAAACAGAGTATAACAGCTAAATCAAATTTCTCGTTAATGTATCTCGGATGGCGAAATCAGGTGCGTCAACGAATGAATAAAAGGACCACATCACTAAACCTCTTCTCTCCAGCATAGTCTTCTGCTTTCCTTTTGAGATGTTAAAAAAGCGAATTATCATGACTATAGGACGAGTTCTTTATTCCTTCTTCTTATTCAAATACTGCTCCTTATAAAAGAGGTGTCAACTCATTTTTGGGATTCTTAAGCATATATATGAAGATGATAATTGTGAGTTATAAATTCTCATTTTGATTTTATCAGAGAAAATACCTAGAAATATATTTGAGGTCTTAAATCTTGAATGTATTGTTACATGTACACACATTTCTAGGCAATGTGCTGGTAAACAAGTTCCGTCGAAGGCAGATTCTTGGTAAACAGTCCGTTGCTAGGTTACACAACAATAGATTATGCTGTGTTCTCTATGTCGTCCGTGCCGATCAGCGGTGGAACCACGAGATTATGCAACCCGTTTCTAAGCAACTGCACGGTAAACACAGTTCTGGCTAAGCGGTGACGTCAGCAACAATAGAGACAGTGTTTTCCGTGAGATCTGTGCAGAGTGCATATAAGCGAAGTGAATGCAGTAACAGAATTAGTTCAGGGGGCAGTTACAAGTCAGCCGTAAGCTCGAGAAGTGAGTCCAGAAGGATTTTTAGTTCCAAGGTTCCAGAGTGATTGAAAACGAAATAGACCTCATAGTGAGTTGAAATGCAGTTTTTGTGTTGAGATCCGTTGCTAGGAGACGACTAATGGAAATTGAGAATCACAATGCGTGTGCAGTCGTGGACGAGAAAGTGTGTAAATCAACGATAACACTATATTTAAGCGTGATTAAGAGAACTTGCAACCAAGGTGCTAACAAATCCAATCATCCGAACTACAACCTGTTATTTTCGACACGCGTACCCCAGACACGTGACAGTATTATTTCCTAGTAGTAGGCCTATAGTTTTCGTTTGTTTTTTCTTACAATCCTCAGAACTAAGCGGCATATTGAATTTTGTCAACGATTTTTTTTTCTCGTTTTCTCACTGGAAAAAGTAGGGAGTTACCTCATATTCGGACTTATGCAGTAATTCATTATTTATAAGAATATTAGAGAATTATTATATGACAACTTTTTATTCTGATGTAAACGCGGTTTAATTTCTCCACAAACACAACGCAGGATGGCCCTATCCAGTTACTGCGCAAAATTACCCTCGCTTTTCCTGATAATGAAAATGTCAACATATTGTGCGATGTACGTTATAATTCAGTTCAGAAAATTTGTGAAGATGGCATCCTATATTCAGTACTACTGGGTTGCTCGACTTTCGTCAGGGTTGCGAAGAGAAAACAACGCTGCTTCGTAAACTGGATCTGTTTCCATCATCATTTGAAAAGAACGAAAACGCTTACTCAGTTGGATTCACTAAAATAAAGCTTATCGCAATCATTTCACTGCTGGATTACCAAATTTGTAAAGTAGTGAGATTTGAAAAGTCCAAAAATCCAGTAAGAGTAGAAATGGACCTGTAATCCGTTTCGTTTTCTTCATTTAATACCGTGGACAAGAATCTGCCCCAGCATTTGACCATACCTCAGTTGATCAAGAAATATATTTGTTGATTCATTGTCAATAGCATGCAGAGAGAAATCATAACACAAAGACAGTTAATAAATCCTTTGAATATATGGTAAAAATCAAATATTAGGGAACAACTGTAGCACATCAAAATCGTATTCATGAGGAAATTAAATGCAGGGTTAATTCGGTTAATGCTTGCTTTCATTTAGTTCAAAAATTTCTGTCGTCTCTCTTGCTGTCCAATAACGTAAAAAAAATAAAGTATTCAAAAGTATAAACTTTGCCAGTGGTTTTGTATGGTTGTGAAACAGGGTCTCTGATATTGAGGGAAGAACAGACTGGACGTAACCCGAGAACTAGGTGCTGAGGAAAATATTTGGACTGAAGAGGCATGAAGTAGTAGGAGGCTGGAGAAAACTGTATAATTAGAAGATTCTTAATGTGTACATTTCGCCAAATATAATTATAATGATGGAGTTAAGAAGAACGAAATGGGCAGGTCACGTAGCCCGCATGAGAGCAGAGAGGAAAGCAAGGAAAGGAGAGACCTAGACGTAGATGCGATAATATTAGTGAAACGGATTTTGGAGGAATCAGAGGGAGTGGTACGAACTGGATTCATCCGACCCAGGATAGGGATCAGTGGAGGGCTTTGTGAATACGACAGGGAACCTTCAGGTTCCATTATATTTTGTGAAATTATGAGGTAGCTGAGCAACTGGTAGCTTCTCAAGAAGGACTAAGCTGCATGGAATTAGTTAGTTAGATAGCTTAGACTCTATCCATGACTGATAAACAAATAAAGCAAACTCCGTGGTTTGAATCCCTAAGCGAACTACACCGACCGAGCGACCGCCGCCTGTCTGCGATATTAAGGCCAACTTCAGCGGATAAAGAGTGTCGCGTGGTCAGCGTAACGAATCCCCACGGCCGTTAATTTCAGTTTTCTAGACCGAAGCCGCTATTTCCTTGAAATAGTTCCACAATTATCCTCACGAGGCTGAGTGGACCCCGTTCCAGACCCACTACTTCTCAGAAAATTATCTGGTAGCACCGGGAATCGAACCCGGATCATAGGTTCAATAAAGAGCAATTAATTGGTAGGGCTGTGAAAGAAAACGGGATTTCTCTGATTTGAATTGCTGTCCCGAAATTTGCCTGAAGGGACTGGAATAAACAAAGGAAACCTCGTTTAGGATATTCGATTTCTAGGTCGAGATTTGATATGAGGACCCCCGAATACGATATAATTGTGACGCTTACTCCTCCGCATGTCAAGAAAGCATCTGCTTTTGTGGAACACGGAAGATTCATTAAGTACTGTATTTACAGCAGACTGCTGACCAGTGTTTGTGTGTGCGTGTGTGTTAGTTGCGTGGGAAGATCCATGAGAACTGCTCACTTGAAGGCTATGACTAACAACAGATCCCACCGGAGATGTTGAATGAGACGTTGGAAAATTTAGCCTGACGTTATGAAGTAAGTCGTGTCAGCCACGTGGTTGGCGGGCTGAGTTAAATCTGGTTGACTCTAGCCACGATCTCCCACAATTGTAAGCAAGCCAGACATTGTGAAGCAAAGTACAGAACTTGTTATTTTAAAGCAATTTGATTGTACCCATACTCAGAAGAACCATTCTGTACATGCGTGAGGTAGGCGATACCTTTCATGCAGATCTCAGAAAAGTGTTTCCTTATACTCCACCGCAGTTAATTTTAAACATCGATTCCCAATTTATGTCTCGAAGAACCCTTTTAAGCTTCGGTAACGTCTGTATCCCAAGTTTTGCCAGACAAGACAAAGTTGAACTTACTATGATTTGATTAATCTATTTAGAGGTGACAGAAAGCAATTTATCATGTCTCCTTTATTCCTATCTCAAGTTCACGCACAGAGAACACAGTAACAGGTCTTGTTACGGATATTTCATTCAATACAGAGAAAAGAAAAGGGGTGTGACATGTATTAAGTACAATCATTTGTGATGTTCTGCGAAGCAGAAAACTTCTTGTATGTCACGTGATTCAGTTTGGGAATCGATGATAAAGGGATATATAAAAATATAAAGTCAAGTGTTGTGCTAATGGGGGAACGTGTCAATCATTATCAGCGTTAAAAGTCAGGTTCTTCCATTAGATCATTATCTAATTATTGAATATTTTCTTACTCAACTAGTTCGAACTTATCCTGAGCCTATCGAATCTAGTCGACACCCTCACACCGTATGTATTCAAGATCAATTTTAATGTTATCTTCCTATCTTCACCTAAGCTCCCCAATGGTATCTGGCCAGGCAGGATATGAGCTCTGAGATGCGCGAAAATGGCGAGGCTACTTACAATCGCGCTACTCTTATTGAAATGAAACAACACGCGTCATTGGCTCGCTCACAGCCCTCGAGACACTGAGCTCCACTGACCTCCCAAACTATGTTCCGGCAGCAAAGCAAATGCACATCTGAAGGCCATAGCTCATGTCTCACCGAACCTACTGTACGCGTGCCTTATCTCCCCCATACACACCATATATCTTTGATGTGATGCCTTTTTTTTAATTCGCTTAGTGAGGGGTGGAGTCCAACTGGTCCACTCGGCACGGCGGCCACTGATTTGCCTATTGTAGCCTGCCCCGAGTGATTATGATAATGGATAATTTTGTGGAATAAAGATTGGCAGGGGAAACCCAAGTACTAGGAAAAAACCCGCCCCAACGCCACTTTGTCCACCACAAATCCCACTTGACCAGACTCGGGATCGAACCCGGGCCGCCGAGGTGGGAATCCAGCGACTAACCGCTTGAGCTATGGCGTGATCATGTGATCGCCTTATGAAAAGGACGCAATTCGTGAAGCTCCTCGTCCTATATCCTATAATTAATGCACTGGAGGAACATCCTTAAATATACCATGACACAACTACACACAAATTTCTTTTGACCTATTTTCCCTATTTTGAAAAAAATAAAAGTAGGCTTATGAGATCGTCTTGCTGTCTCTGTCTCCATATGTGTATCCATCGTATCATTGTTAGTCATCGGCACGGTAAACACTTTCCTGCGGCCACGAATACACACCCAACAATAGAAGGATTATTGAGCACGCCGTTTCCTATGCTTTCCGTGTCATACCAAAGGGACGTAGGCGATTAGTTCTTCCCAGAGTTTATTGATTTTTTCGGAAACGTTGTCAGTATGCTTTGTGTATTTAGAACACGTGTGGCACCCATAATTCAACTGTGTCCATTTGTGTTTGCAGAGTCGCTACAGGGCCCCCACGAGAAGCGCTTGCTACACACACTTCTGGACCACTACAACGTCCTGGAGAGACCTGTGGCTAACGAGTCCGACCCTCTCCAACTCAGCTTCGGTCTCACGCTTATGCAGATCATCGATGTGGTGAGTACCACCAGTCTACCCTTGTAATAAGGCTCTTGAGATTGTGTGAAACGAACCTGTCTCCATGTCAACTAAGTTTTTACATTTAAGTCTCTGTCATCATGGTGATCACTCTAGCCTCAACGGTTATTCAAAAGTGGCGGTCATTGATCTCGAAATTCAACTTATATTATGATGGCATGGTGCCCATAATTACAATTATTATTCAAAATTGACCAAAGTCGAATTTTAAATTTTCAGTATTATGCACTTAAACCATTGTCGTCCTAACAACTATAAAGTGCTATGATTCATAAGCAAAATTAACGGATGTTGATTTACAAAGCTAAGCAGGTCCAGAGTGGAAGCATGTGTTGTGTTAGGAGTTAAAATGTAAAAACTTGATTTTGTAAATTTATAACCCCAGCACGTAGAAATTGTACATTGTCTAGAAATGAAACTGTTGAAGTTGCGCGTTGATCTCTAAATCCTTCTCGAAATGATGGCCATTAAATGTCCTACCATATAATTTTCCCATTATTATCAGAACTATCAACTCCATATAGCGCATTGGAACTAGTATATATCGCCTGAATTAGTATGATTACATGGAATTTTACTTATACTACATTAAATTACTATTGTTTTCGCTAAATACTATTAGTAGGCTGTTGTGTATAAACGAGATTTGTTGCATTCTTTTGTTAGGGGAAACAGTATTTTGGAACGTTATACAATTGAGTAAAATAATGTTAAACATTACATAGCCCCTGATTTATTTGATAGATAAAAAATGCCGTCTTGCTACTGTAGCTTCGGTTTAATGCGTTAGTGTTACTTTATTAACTAAGCATTCTGATCTGAAATAAAAAGTCTCTAGTAATTACATAAAAATATATTTATGAGACTACTGCAAGGTTTTGATCCACTATATTTAACAAAGAAGATACTTGGCCTGATTTCTTAAACAATTTTGTTTTCACTTTAATGATTATTGGTCACTCTATTATGACAAACTTTTTATTGGTTTCTGAGAGACTAAGGCCTGCGCTAGGATAGTACATGTCCTTGCGAGCTTAATGTCTTGTTTTTAAAAATTCGATACTCCTCGGTCCTTTGGACTTATCTTCATCTGTAGCTTGTCTGAACATCTGCTGCGAACCATATAGAAGGTTCTTAAAGTTCGATTGATACAACCACACTCCTTGTTTGTAACATCCTCAGAAATCAAAACCAAATCTATCAGACACTGAACTGTAAAGATATATACGTGCCTCGCTTAGTCTTGCATTATCTGATTGCGTTCAACTATATTTTCATTCGTAAAGGCTTATGGTTATCCAGTCTGTGAGAGATTTGGAGTGCGTGTGTAATGTACACAGTAGTGAGGTTGCTTAACATCGCGTTCTCTTGGGCCAGCTTCCCCATTGTTGGCCACATAACCACATGCCTTTGGTGGTGTGTTTGTAAATTATTCGAGATGCAACGTTCCAAAACAAACAGGATACAGATCTAAGGTTCCATGTAGCCTTAAATAAATGTAATAATCAATTACTAGTTTAAACTTTCCAAGTCACTCAGTCTCTGATCAGATGATATTCCATTAATTTCGTCTATCCTACATATTTAAATCCAGTCATTACTTCCATTCTTACTTTCTTTAGGATAAATTTTATTGTTGTGTTATCTCGACTGAGGATTTTCGTAGTTTTTAAGTCCTTCGTAACGAATACTTAAATAGCATCTTAATGTACCACTACTACCATGACACCATTAACAGACTGTTCTTTGTGATGGAGTCTATATATATTTTGTTGGCGGGAAGTACGTTTTTTTAATATTACTCATATTTAATCGCCTTTTATGGTTTAGAGATTTAAAAGACATTGAAATTCCAACTGGTTTTTTAATAAGAAAATGTATTTTTGCAGTATAAATTTTTCGTTATTCCTACATTAAGATCTGTTTTATTTTTAGAACCAATCGTGTCCATTCCTATTTACAGCGAAAATATACGTACGTATTCATAAAAATTTACACGTAATTACTTTTCCAAAACAAGACGTGCTTGCTAAAGATATATTAATATCTTTGAAATTCTTTATTATATATGTCAAGGCTTGCAGGAATTCTTTGTGAATACCAGGAAATTTTAGCCATGCTGGGTGATATTGTTAGTGCGAACGCGCTAACTGCTGGCAGTACTAATTCTGCCAGCAGATGGATCTGCCATCAGCTGTCGTCATTTGAATGGAAAATGCTCATTTAATAGAGCTGCTTGGAATATATATTTTGTATTTCATCACTATTGAATGTTCTGATTTGATCGTGAATGCGTGAATTAAAGCCCCTTGTGAACATATAATTATATAATTTAGCAGTACATTGCTCTGAACATTCTTCATAACTACAGTACATATTCTAATATATTTTGACATGTTAAATTTCTCAGATATAACAACAAAGTTTATAAAAGTTTCTATGTTTATAAATGTTATGATATCGAAGCGTTCAATATAGAATTATAAACCATTTTATGATCCATTTTCGTACAAAATAAAAAACTTCCGGCTTCAGTGGTTAATCATTTATCGCCTTAAGTGTTAAAATCGTATACAGATCCATAGTGCCCCTTATTCCACTTATGTAGAATTTATTTTTCATACTTATATACTTCCTTAAGAAGTAAGATGAAAACCCTCTTTAGAACTACCGGTAGCAGTATATCACAGCTGTGAAATTGATGCGGGCTACTTGCTTGACTGGTATATTGTGTTGAGCTTAAGAGCTTCTCTTCCAGGAAAAAAGATGCTCAATCGGGTCTGGAGTCCAAGATGCTCTAAATATTTGTGTCAGTGGCTGATACGTTGCACGTGTATTATGATGGATGTTGAGCACTATTTGAGATATATTCCATGTACACAATTTTATGACGACCCTGCTTCCATCATGAGATGATGCGTTGTAATCATAAATAAATATCTCTTTATTTTACTCTTAATGGCAAAGATTTCGGTCGAAGTCAAGAGCTTCTGAACACTAGCTAATATAGTACTCACTAGTACAGTATTACAAAGATCCTGAGTTCGATATCAATTCTGTCCGTTTTTATAAAAAAAATATATAAAAGTCTCTCAGTGCCATGAAAATGTGAAGATGCGAGTAGAACCAACCTTTTGTACGTCGTATATATTAGAAATAGAACTGCTTCACACAATATAAGTGCCCAACATGAAACTCGTGTCTTGAATCCATAAACCCCCAAAAATGACAAACAGAAAGACCCAACTAACGATAGTTAGAAAGAAAGAGATTGTTATTCGATTGTGAAATTTCGAGTGTATGCGTTACTATTGAAACATCGGTTCATTTCGTTGGATATTTGCATCTTGCTTCAAGGGTACGGCATGTAATGAAAGTCAATTCATTTTTATAACCGAACGTCGCGGGTGAGTGAGTGGAGAAAGAAACAGCGCCGTAAAACCTTTATGCCAAGAAAACTCGATATTCTTTCAGTTTATTTGACTCATATGGCCTTAATTAATAAGCAGGTGTCTGAAGGGTGCAAGCAGCGGATTGGTGGTGCCGGGTGTAAATCTGCATCAGAGGCTCGGGTTTCCCTACTGACGTTTCTGCCCGATGTAGACAACTGCCGCTTTGTTCCATATTCTTAAAAAATTAATATTCATTAATCGTACTGTCATTTGACGCTGTGTAATCTCAATGATTTAAATCGTCTTTAAAAATCCCAAAACAAACTAAGGAACTAATATGAAATAAAATAAAGTAAAATGAACATTTATATGAATAAATACCCTGTAAGAACTATGCGCTCCAGTAGATTGCAACCGGTTTTTCTAGAAATATTTTAAATGTGTCCTGATAAAATAAAATAAAATAAAATAAAGAATGAAATAAAATATATATACATAATTGTCTCTTAATACATACGCGCTCTTATAAATTGCAATCAGTTTTGCTAGAAATATTTTAAATGTGTCCTGAAGCGGCCTCCGTAGTCTAGAGGTAACGTTCCCACCTCGTGACTCGTAGTACGCGGGTTCAAATATCCGGCGGAGGTCGTCGAATTTTTAAGGGCGGAAAAATTCAGGGAACAAGTCCTCCGGGAGGGACTTTAAGCCGTGGGTCCCGTGTCGTAGCTTTACGGCACGTAAAAGAACATCATATCTCTAAAGGAGGTCACTGAGGCAAATTACGGACGTTTCCCGCCCAACAGCAGTCTCTAATACCTCTGGTAGATGGGGGAAGCATTATAGATACCTCTCAGCTAGTAGAGCCGGTCTCGCTGGCTGGGCGGGACTGATGGTAAGCACCAGTACCGGTAGGATATAGAGACTGGTAGAAATCATAGAGGGAAGCACAATGGACCAATACAGGTCTAAGTGCATGGGGAAACTCACCCTCTCCAATAACTAACTAAATGTGTCCTGATAAAATAAAATAAAATACAATGTAATATTTATATATATAATTGCTTCGTAGCACCTACGCGCTCCTCCAGATTGCAACCGGTTCTGCTATAAATGCTTCTAAATGTGTCCTGTTTCGTAAAATAAAAGTGAAGTACTGTGACGCATTGTGATTATACCCTTATTTCTCGCATCCAGATAATCTGAAATGTATTATTTGTGAATCGTACATGAAATACCTCTATATTAATTCTTCCTATATTGAGGTATCTAAACAGTGAAGCCTGGTTTTGTCATATTTCCTTGATATGCAGAAAATTACAACTGCCAGATTTATTGTCAAAGGTGGCAATTGACACCATCAAATTATAAAACCGCTCACATGAGAGGTGAGCTGTGTTTCTAAATGACATGGTCTGAAGACAAAATGGAAATCAGTGGTTGATGAGTTTGGCTATAGGAATAAACCCAGTGAGGGATATAACGCAAACAGTGCTTGTCTATTGATGTGCTGTAACGTCAAGTGTAAGGCAAGCGAATGCTTTTTAAAACGGAAGTGACGCCATGTCCAAGAGAACTGACTATATTGACAGAGGCAGGCTTCACACATCTTCAATTCCCCAACGACATAACATCACCTATCGCTTATCAGCGTTTGGAAATGAATTCCAGTACACTGTTATGAATATCATATGCAAATTGATTTCATTACTACTTACTGATTAAAAATAATTTTCTCTACAATAATAGAATTATACCGGTTAACAATATTTACATATAATTCCAGGGGAAACGTAGTCACTCTTTTAGAAAAACTTGTGACTGTCTCAGTAAGACCAAATGCATGAAAACTAGTTTTCAAAATGAGATGATAGAGGAAAGACTGAGAATTTTGAGACACAGTTCTGGACATGGCCTATGCACTAGAAATTTCTAACTCTAAGGAATAACTGAGAACCAAATAATGAATAGAGGTTAATTGATAATTGGCAGTAATACGGTACCTCAAAGAATTTTCATATGCCGACCGATTTGTTGCGTAGGACAATCTAGAAACTTTTCGGTCGATATACCCATTAGTCCCAGAATAACATTTCACGCACCCCTTTTCATTAGTGACTTAATTTTTTTGTAGGGTCGCGCCATAGCCCAAGCGGTTAGTTGCTGGCTTCCCACGGCGGCGGCCCGGGTTCGATCCCGGGTCTGGTCAAGTGGGATTTGTGGTGGACAAAGTGGCGCTGGGGCAGGTTTTAGTCTAGTACTTCGGTTTCCCCTGCCAATCTTCATTCCATCAGTTGCTCCACAATCACTCTCACCTATCATCTCTGGCTGGTACAATTGGCCAGAAGTAGCCTCAGTACAAGGGACTTAGTCCCACCCTACTAGCAATAAAAAAAATAATGTTTGTTGTAACAAGCTACGTACTGTCATGCTCTAAGAACACACTGTAACCCTATTAGTCCAGTATAATTTCACCGACGTTTCGGAGGAACATACCTCTTCCCTCTTTAGGGTCGAACAATAATTGAAGCTATTCGTCAGCAAGAAGCATGCATTTTGGGACTTTCATGCCTGTGTGTGAAGATATATGAAATATGTGTCATATACCGACTTATTTGTCTTCACCTAGACCCAGAGGGTATATGTACTGATTGATCAGAACCATTCCCTAAAATGCAGTGGTTGTATTCCTTCTGGAAATTATGTGTCAGGGGTCTAAGCTGTACTTTGTGATGTTAAAGGTTATATGAAAAATTGTTGACAATATTTCAGTAATAAACTATCTTTCCCTCTACGAATTTATGGATCAAGACATCAAAGCAGTTTTTTTTTAAATCCATCTTCTGATTTGTACTGACGAAGAACATGTCTTAAAGTAAATTTGAATCCTGAAGCTTTACTCTCTCTCCCTAATACTGGAATGATATGAAACTCTTCGCATCATAAAGTCATCCAGTATTGATAGAAATATGGGATATGGAGAGGTAGCCATATTAAGTTTCGAAGCTTCGTCTCGTGAGACCTGCTGGATGCATATGGCATCATATTCATGTATGTCGTATTGTCGAAGAGATTCAAAATGAATGCATCAGCTTTCTTTTCAAGTGCTCTCCGATTCAGAAGTAGGCGTACAGGATTGTTCAATTTGCACGAAATGCGGCCGCAAGGAACGAAACTTAACGGATCTAATCTAACTTTTGGATGGGCGACACCGTTTCCATCGCATGAATTGTTTCTTGAGAGATACACACTGTACAGCTGGATGTCGCGTTCCTGCTTCATGCGCGGTAAGTCTCCGCTTCGGAGTTTGGTCCGGAGACCGGTTATCCTGACTGGATATTTTCATGGTTCACTTCAGTCTCTGTACTTAAATACAGTGATAATAGCCCAAATTATACCACGGTCGTCTTCCTTCACCTCGCTTCTAAACCATTTTTAATAGTCACCATATCATTCTACGCTACGTAGACTGCCATTATATAACCTAAAAATTACTTACTTACTTATTATTTATGGAGCTGAGCCCTTCTTGAGGAGAAGCCAAATCTTCAGCTACTCAAGAATTTCCCAGCATTTTATGAAACCCGAAGTTTCATTGCCGTGTTCACAAGAGCCTTCCACTGTTCCCTATTCTGAGCCAGATCAATCAAATCCATACCATCGCATCCTATCTGTCTAAGATCCATTCTAATATTGTTCACCCACCTACGCCTTTGTCTTCCCATTGTTCTTTCCTTCTGGCTTTCCCACCAATATTCTATATGCATTTCTCTTCTCCACCATTCGTGCTCCATGCCCTGCCCACCTCATCCTCCTTGACTTGATCATTCTAACTATACTTGGAGATGAGTACGAGTTATGAAGCTCCTCATTATGCAGTTTTCTCCAACCTCCTGTCACTTCATCTCTTCGGTCCAGATATTCACCTTAACATCCTGTTCTCATACACCCTCAGTCTATGTTCCTCCCTTAATATCAGAGACCAAGTTTCACATTCATACAGAACCACGGGCAAAATTATAGTTTTATATATATAACCTAAAAGTAAATAAATAAAATATACATACGTAATTTATAATGAATGTGAGTTGAAATATGCAAATTTATTTCGAGTAGTTAACAAATAATGGTTTTCCTCTACAGGATGAAAAGAATCAAATCCTTACCACAAACGCTTGGTTAAATTTGGTAAGTTTTGTGCTGACTCGGGGTTGTTCTTGTTCTGGAAAGCCTAGCGTTCACAGGAGACCAGCTGGTTCCCTTTATTTGTAATATCAGAAAATATAAATTTATTGCTTAATGAAACGCAGAAAGAGAACTGGTTTCCTGTGATAACTAGACTTACAGGCTTGCCATCAGGGTTTTAAATCAACTCGACTTCAAATTTGAATGCCGTAAAATTAAATTCAAATAAACTACATTAATGCAGATCCCATGTTAAGAACACAGTGTAAGAACATTTCGCAAATAAGGGAGAGTTTAAAGCATAAGAGTTTCTGAGTAAAGCTGCAATGTAGATAAACTTGTTAACGTAGACAAAAAGTTATAATTTGAAGACGAGTCGTGTGTACTTAGTTCTAGAATCCACTAGTAGCAGTGTATTCTGGAACTTTGCTTTTTTATGCTTAAATGTTCCCGAGAACTTGGGAAACAGAGGCGGACGACTTGGAAGTAGTCCGTGTGGTGAAAGAGACAGGGGTATGGTTGAGTCGTCCGCCATCGTACCCAGGTTCTCACCCCCCCCCCAACCCCGCGTGTGGTTTTGGTGTTTGCATTGTACCGATTCACTAACAAAGCACATTTTCTTCTCATTGCATGTTAATAGGATGAGAAGAATCAGCTTCTAATAACAAACATATGGTTAAAACTGGTAAGTTACTTGAAGTGAAAAGAACATTTAAACTAAGAGGATAAAGTAAGTTGAAATGGAAAACTAAGAAATAAAGGAATTTAATTCCCCAAGGATATTTCAGACTTTAGAGAGAGAATTATCCTATGTATGCCCATCAAATTATATAATTTAAAATCTTTACTTTTTTTAGAAACAACTGAAAAACAAATCAACTTTGTTTATCCTCAATATCTAAATGATAATTTTAATATTGTTTATATATATTAACTTAGTGCAAAATTTACCAGGGTTTCAACTGTTTAATATGCATGATTATGAATCCTGTTTATGCAAAAATCAGAGTGTTCAATAAACTGACTCCGTCTTTCCATTTATCGAAGTTTGTCATTATTTTAGCATTACATAACATGAAATAAAAAAAATATGTATATTTCTTCCTCATTACGGAATTCTAATAAATATCTTTGTATATAATGTAACGGTTCAAGTCCACAATACATAATTCTCATATTAAATAAAATTATTTCAAACTCGGTAATGAATTATCATTGTAGGTTACATGTTCATCTTTCAATTTAGGTAGTTTTCGTGAAAGTATTTTTATTGCTAGTGGGGTGGGACTAAGTCCCTTGTACTGCGGCCACTTCTGGCCTGTTGTACCAACCCCAGATGATAGGTGAGGGTGATTGTGGAGGAATTGGTAGAATGAAGATTGGCAAGGGAAACCGAAGTACTCGGAGAAAACCTGCTCCGGCCCACTTTGTTCACCAAAAATCCCACTTGACCAGACCCGCGATTGAACCCGGGCCGCCGCGGTGGGAAGCCAGCGACTAACCGCTTGAGCTATGGTGCGGCCTCCTTCGTGAAAGCAACTTCTAAATAGTGTAACTTTAATTGGTACAAATAATTTTGATTTCGATACAATAGTCCTTAAAAAGTTTTAGTACAAGAAATATTAATTATATTTAGCTGGATAAATACATTTATAATATGTGAATTTTTTCACTGATAATTTCGAAATAAATAATTTATGACCGTGTGGATAAATGAAATAGATGGACAACGTTTTTTACACCCTGACTTGTATTATTCCTTGTAGTTTAAAACGAACAAGACCGATTCAATTTTTATTATGTCATAAAAATTCGTCACAATATGTCATCCTGTGTTCAGTCGAAACTGTTTTGAAGTAGCTGTTGATTATAGTAGATGCCTGAGAGTTTGATCTATCTGGTAGAGCCAACCAGTAGAAGCACATACTCTAGGGTAGTTTAAGCACAAGGTACTTCCATATGTAGGACTGTATTTACTCTCAACACAAACATATTCGTGGCCACTTGTTCTCTTCACTTTTAAGAGTACATAAATTTCAGCCCTTCAGATTTCTACAAACTGTTACTCTAATGAGGCATATTGAGTGAACCTCTTAATTCCATATGTTCGTATTTTTTTCGAGGTACGACACATGAGAAATTAAGTATCTGTGCCAATATCCGTTTTCACACTTATTCATAGATGGCACTCTTATGGAAATTTGGTAAATTTACGTCCAAACATTCATGAAGACGCGTGTTATATAAGATAGGTCTTGTACAAAGTAGTAGTAGAAATTTGAGCAAGATTGAAAAAGGAATATATTTCTGACGTTCCTTACAGTGTCAGAGCGGGAGTTACGGAAGTTTTATACAGTGTAATAAGAAACTCTGCTTTATTTAATAAAGTGTTTTCCACAAACACAATGTGGAACATACGGCATTATAACAATTTTCCTTCAATTAATTAAAATTTTTAAATAAAAAGCCTTCATAAAAGTTTAACAATAACAGAAATAGAGTTACTTTAATAATTCACTAAAGCAAAGTGCTCTTTGCAGTACATTTCCTGTTACATCCCTATAAACGTGCCTGGGCATGTAGACAACACTTCTTTATGAAGCAAGATAATGAATGATCTATACCATTGATTTTTCTGTTCGCATGGAGAGAGAGATGCACGGTGGCCGTAGCTGTATTCTGTGTCCCTTTGTAAAAGTACTCTACTTATAGTAGTTTTGTAATAGCAGTAGAAATTAGTGTCGATTCTGTCTTAAAAATGGGTTGTGGAGAACTAGTTTGCATGGTATGTCATGACTTACATAACAAATTGTAGCACATAGTTTGTAACCGAATTTACAATCATTCAGCTCCCTTTATATGTTCAGAATAGAATAAGATTATTTATTTTAAAATAGATTAATGAAGAATGAAAATTTCTTCATGATGTTACAATGAAATTAGAAGAATTATAGTATGTTTGATCTTACGGTAACTAAAAATCGTTTATACCTTACAAGACATTTTTACTTTTTTAGTATATAAATTTCCGGCAACATTAAGGATACAAGATATTTCTGGTGGCTATCTGTGACAGTGGCATTCTGTATTATTGCATTGTACACAATTAAATTAAGTTTTGGTAATATGTGATTTTAAACATCCCCGAATATTAAACTGCGTAGGCTGTATAAGTCAGTGGCTTTATAAATATATCGCTATAATATGAAGAGGTTGAAAAAATCTGTTGATAGCGCAAATTATAAATAAAAAACTATATATAATTATATCATGTCTGTAGCAAGCCACTGAATTATTCTGTAGGCTTATCTACTAAAATTACAGCATGATATAGGCAAGAAGCTCTCAGATCTGCAGAAAAATTGTGCGTCGGTGAACTACATCGAACTTATGATGGCATATTGCGGTCATGAAAGTGATGTAGCTATATAAATGTACGGACGGTCCACAGCCTGCTGAATATGTAAGTCAGTTAAAATAATGTTGACATTTTACACTTCTTAGAGAAATAATTACCAGTAATGAATTATAATCCTCTTTATGCTACTGAAAATATATTTAACTTTTGCCACTATGATTTGTGACCTCACAGATCTAGCCATTCTCTGTTTCCGGGAATTTCTCACATCTAGCTACAAGTAAATTCCTGTAAGGGAAATAATTCGGGCGGACAGAATTTTATTCGATTAATACTCTGTAATAAATTGTTTTCAGAAAAATGAAATATATTTCAAGAACTTCTAGCCATACTGTAGCCTACATTTATACTCGAAACTGGTTGCACTCTTCTTCATATTTTGCCATGTCTTTATCCAGAATCAACTGATAATTTCAAATTCAATTTCTCGGTCCTTGGAACCAAATGCGGTGTAGGGCGAGTTTTGAGAAAACAAACGAAAATTATAAAATTTTACTGCTCGTCATTTGACCAACTATATCTTCATTCTCTAAGCTAGGCGCCGTGTAGATATTGTGTTAACCGACGTTTCGGAGGAACGTATCGCCTCAATCTTCAGGGTAGAAGAAAAAGAAATCAGCGAGCGAACCAGCGTAGACAGGTGCTAAGAGACTGAATTCTTCTTTTTCTTCTGTCCTGAAGATGGAGGCGATACGTTCCTCCGAAACGTCGGTTAACATAATATGTACACTGCCCCACATCCAAGAAGACTGCTTTCTTCCTAGTGACTGCCGTGAAAACCTCAAATCTTACAAATTCCATTCAATTTGAAATTAAGAATAAGAATAGAATATGGATGTTTGCTTACGTTTGAACTTACTGATCACAATGGATTTGTATTTGATTCTGTAAGTTCAGATACAATTTATTTCGATATGTTGTTAGTATATTCTTCATGGCCTGGTAAGCAATGGCAGAAATTATTATAACCCTGCTAGTGTATAATAAATATCTTAGTTATAGGCCTAGAAGTCACCTTCAGCTGAACTGTGAAAGGTTGTGTAGGGGTGCTCTCGGCGATCACATGGTCTCTACTACGCCTCTGGGGTCAAAGCAGTGCACTAGAAGTGAAGGTCATCCACATGGGACTCAACTGAACTACGGGACGCACTCACAAGTTTCTTTGAATTTTCTTTTCTTTTTCAATTCTTTTTTTGTCAGACTTATTACTCATTGGTTCTCAGGAATGGAACGACGTCAACTTACGGTGGAATTCATCGGAGTATGGCGGAGTGAAAGATCTTAGAATACCTCCACATAGGATATGGAAGCCAGACGTACTCATGTATAACAGGTATGCCAGAAAAAATGAGAACTTGGATTTCTGACGTGTACTTGTTTAGTGTGAGTCTAATGCAATACACTTGGTGGGTCTGGTAAAAAGAAGGCTTATTTCCAAATATGTATGTATATATATGCATATATATTCATATATACAAGGATTGTTTTCTGTACTGTTTTTCCTTGTGCCAATTTAAATCCGATGTGTTGATAGAAACGTAAAGCGAGTTTATTCATTTATAAAGTTTCTGAACGTAATTTAAACACATGTTTGCATAAAATATCAATTTTTATTTGTTTGTCCATAATTTTATTAAAACAGTGCTACATTCTTTTGTACCAGTTCCTCTAATCCCGTGCTTCATGTTACCATGTAGTAATCCGTACAATTTTTATCGGTGGAATCACTCATATACACCAGAAAATAACTGACAAAAGCTAAAAAACATTAGTTATTATTATGCCAATTAAATCCTTAGGACCAGTCATCAACACCTATATTTCTGTAGTCTGCACCTCAGTTGGTTTGATTAAAAACGTATGTTACAAGAAAATTGTCTCTAATTGGCAGTCTACCGTATATGTCGGGTAAGAAATCATAACACCGTATTTATGCATCTGTTTGCGTCGGAAGTTAACATTTGGGGCGTCAATTCAATTCAATTCATTATTATTTATGTGCTGAACCAACAGCCGCAAGGCCAATTACAGACACAGCACAGTGTAGATAAAAGTAGTTACATACTGGACAAGCACAACATAAAGTCAAAGACTAAGCAATAATTCAGTTCAATTCATGTTTATTTACATGCAAACTTAACAGCACAGAGGCCAATTAAAAAGTCAGCACGAGTCCATAAAAATACACAAAAATAATTAAAAAACGAAATACAAGATATGATAGACTATATAATGGCAATAAATTAATAATAATTCCAAGAAAAATTAAAGTTAGCGTTAACAAGTGAGAAAAATAATATAAGTACAATAAGGACAATGCACGTACATACACGCATAGAAGTTAGTAAGAATAACAATAACTCAATTGTTTTTTACTTATTTGTGTGCTAACCCAACAACCAATATAATAATAAAAATAATAATAATGACAATAATAATGAAGAAGCCCAAAAGGCGAAATCTTCGTTGAAAATATATTCATCAGGTAGTAAAAGAATTTCGCACCCTAAATGTAACCTGGCCGGTCACGGTAACCGAGCGGTCTAAGGCATGTACTGTCTTCGCTCGCTTGGAAATCGGAATCGTGGGTTCGAATCCCACTCAAGGCATGGATGTTTAGTTTGTGCGTGTGCGTTTTTCTGTGTCTGTGTACAGGTAGAGGCCTTGCGACGAGCTGATCACCCACCCAAGGAGTCCTACCGAATGTGTAAGATCTAGAAAAACGAAGTGAACAGAGAAGTTCATGGAGGTAGGCCTAGGCCCACTGGGGCTCTAGTGCCAAGGAAAAGAAAAATGTAACCAGACGACTCGTGTCCGGCTTCAGGGAGCCTGCCACTGGTTAGTCCTGAAACGTAACACTCTACTGCACGACCTCGCACCCTGTTTCTTTAAGATACAGTACATTGTAACTTTACCTTATTACGAGTATGTGCTGTTTGCCAGTAAAGATATACGTGTGTGTGTGTGTGGGGGGGCGCTGTATGTTTATATATATGGATGGATGTGTACAGCCTACAAACTATAACGATGACCAATGCGACAAATGGCGAATTTTATAATAATAATCTTAGTCATTTTAAATAATTTTATATATTTTTAACATGCTTTCAAATTTAATTTCAATATAAAATCCACTGGAATGCTGGCCAATACTAATAACACATGCAATAAATAGTCCTCTCGTTACAAAATATCCATTGTAACATGATGACCTTCGTAGCCGAAATCTGACTAGCTAAGTATGATTATATATCTAATTTATAATAAATGTATTCAAGGATTTTGTCAGGTAATCTATTTGTATATATATTATATACATGTGAAATACTAAGGCCGGTCACAGTAGCCGCTCGGTCTAAGGCATGAACTGTCTTCGCTCCGTTGAACACTGGGATCGTGGGGTCGAATCCCACTCGAGGCATGGATGTCTGTGTGCGTGTATTCTGTGTTCGTGTTGCCTTGCGACAGGGCTGCTCACCCGTCCAAAGAGTCCTACCGTTCGTGAAAAATGATCACGGAATGAATGGGCCAAAAGAGCCATTGAAAAAAATACATATATTAAGACTCAGAAGTGCATAAACCAGATTATGCACCCTGGAGTTATTGTCCACCAGACGCGTAGGAACAAATTTTGGTTTTGCCATAACATTATCATTTCTTCTCATATGAAGAAATGAATGTATGAATATATAATTCAAATATCCTTTCATCTATCCTCCAGTTTCTTTATCTCGTAAACTATTAATGGTGGAAGTTAGGTGTAAATACTGTCACATGTAGGGGTGACTATAGACGGGGTTTTGGATAGGATGTTTGGGTTTATTGACACCTTATTCACGCAACTCGGGATTACAGTCAATTAGAGCGCTATCGCTATTTCCACATATTTTACACACGCACTACGATTCTCAGTCTTCACTATTCGTATCCTGGCAACGGATTTTTAACCGTCTCACTGTAACTTCAAATCTCAGATGAAGACTTTTTTGCACAGTCTAATTCATTTCTTCTCAATTAACTTGGAATGCCATCTCCATAAAGTCGACCAATTCTCGGCGCCAAGTCACTCAAACGACATTGTTCGTCCCTTTACAACACCTCAGCACGGACTACGCAGAAAACACTGCCTATCTGTTGTTGAGAAAGCTTATTTACTGATCCGTTACCAAGCAATGGATATTTTATTATTGCGCGCGTTCGCTTCCGCTGGAATAAGTTTACCGTCTCGTTCCGTAGTATTGGGTCTATAGCTCATAATAAAAAGAATGGTCGTTTCAGGAATGGAAATCGGGGTACTTTTCAATATTGCAATTACGTGAATGAGTTCCGGTCCAGGTAAATTTCTTTCGCTAGTCTTTCGCCTGTAGGAAAGCACTGGGACCGTGAAAACAAGGAGCAGTGTGATTATCACCGGGAATCCGTTTAGTCACGTGTTAATTTAATACTTGCTCTTCTCTTCCCATAAATGGTGCGGCAGCATGGTGACGAGAGACGAAATTGTATTGCTTTGAGTCGCTTCTGGAGTGCTCCATTTCATTTCGTGAAGATGACGAGGGCTGATAACAGCTGGAATGGTACAGAATGCAAAAGAAAATGATAATTCCCTATTTTTGAAACCAAAGGAAGCATGTCCTTTTACGGCTAATAACGATTCGTAACTGCTATTTCAGAATAAATAAGCTATCGACAGAAAACAAGATCTTACTGTACAAAACCATGCTCAAACCGATATGGAAGTACGGGATACCATTGTGGGGATCAGCCAGTAACTCAAACATAGAAATTCTCCAACGATTTCAAAGCAAAGTATTACGAATAATAGTTAACGCGCCGCGGTACGTGCCGAACACGGTACTACACAAGGACCTAGATGTACCAACAGTACGAGAGGAAATAAAAATACAAAAGCAAAAAGTATAAAATCAGACTCCAGGCCCATCCGAACAACTTGGCACAAAAACTACTCGACAACGAAGGTGAAATCAGGAGGCTAAACAGATTTAAACCATCAGATTTTCCCACCAGATTCGAATAATACAACACTTAACTGCTTATTACTAAGTAGTTAAAATAAGTATTGAGCATGTTCATTAGAATATGCTCACCACGTCAAATACTCTCTTTCCTTTTGCTACATGTAAATTAACCACAAAATGTACTTATTATCCACATTTAGTGGGTAGATTGTATAATTATTGGAGTCAAATAAAAAAAAAAGAATAGATAAAGTTCGCAAGGCTTATATTTTTGTATAAGTCATGGTAACTCAGTAACGACCTGTCCCACAAGAATTGTGATGAGGGTTATTAATGCGACATGTGCACGCCCAGCAACTTAGATACATTTAAAGTGGGTAACAACCAAACAAAAACATGTTCTTCATATTTCAATGCAGATTTCTCTGCACGGGCTGACTAGTCTCATACAATAGGATGCGACGTTATAATATCATTACTGTGATATGATTACCGATGAAACCTCTGTGCCATATTATCGCACTCTGACGTGGCAGAGTTCTGAGCTACGTTGCTCAAACAGAGATGTTCCTCGTATATTTCCTCTCTGTTTACCTTGTAACTGAAATGATCTGGTTAGGTATGGAAAATGGAATTAACATGTTAGATTCTATAGGGAAAGGATTCAAGTAGATAAGGGAGGTTTCCGAGCCTCAGTATCCTACCCTCATATCTAGAATAAAGTGAGGCCCGTGAGAATCTCCAACCACAAAGGAATACATTAAAGGATTTTAAAATCACAGACACGCTCCAGAATACAATGCAGTGGATTGCAAATTACGTTGTTAAATAACGTGTTGGAGAAGAGAACAATCTTCTGGTATATAACGCCGTATATTACGTTTGAAAGTCAACTGACGTTTCGGAGGAATATCGCCTCCATCTTCATGATCGAAATATAATCCGAGCAACATAAAGCAGGCTGTAAGCAGAGTTCTGCTTGAGGGGCTTGGGGCTGGATAATGCCATGCCACACAAAAATAACACCGGAGCAATATAAAAGTTTTAGGAAATACTATTCATATGTTGTCCCTTATTCTAATAAACAAAAGTGATCAACATGCTGTTTGTAAGAATGTGACACAAAAGATACAGTTTATGTCCAATAAAATGAGAAAATAAGGACATGAGAAGTTATTCCCTGAAATTATGGGTTATCACTTTATTAAATACATAAACTCTATGTGTCATGACATACAACATGTCTGTTCCAATTAAAGTTTTGGAGTATTACATTCTTCTTCAACAAAATAACCTTTTAGTTTCTTATATCATTCACATTATAGACTAAGGTAGGCCCCACACCGGCATGCGTCAA